GGCAACAAGGAGATCCCCGAGCCTTTATTCAGTCAAGAAGAGCTCCGGGCGCTCCAGGCAGCCAACCCGCAGGGAGTGGTGCAATCTTCTACGGATGTTGCGGAGGACACCGAGACCGGGCAGAGCGCAGCTGGATCCGGCGCCAAGGCCAAGCGGAAGGCTCAACCGTTTTCTGCATTCCGCAAGCACGAGGGACGCACCATGTCCCCTCGACCCTACTTCCAAAGGAGTGATCAGCTTGGAGCAGGAGAAGCCCCGCCTACACCCAGACCTACCTCAGGACTACCAGCACTGCCAATGACATCGCATAACGCATCCTCCGGACCCTCCAGGCCATTGCTCGTGAGGAAGAAGCGTGTGGACTCAAGATCCCCAAGGCGCAGTCCTACAAGGCGAGGTCGCAGCAACTCCAAACCTTCCAGACCGAGGGCGATTTTAAAATCCAGATCGCACACTCCCAAGACAAGATCTCGCACTCCCAGGACAACATCCAGATCTCGCACTCCCAGGACAGTGAGACGCTCGAGATATGCCGGTTCTACTGCGCCTACAGCATCCAGACAACAGGCATCAAGGGCATCGGGCTCTGGCAACATTGGCACTACTGCAGCACCGAAGGCGTCATTCACACAAGTGCCTAAGATTGACCCCAAGCTCTACGAGACCCCACGGATGCCATCAAGGATCACATTCAGCAAGAACATCAAGCAATTCCGAGTAAACTGGCGAGACATTGAGATCCCGCAGTTCCCCATACATGACTCTACCAAGCAGTATGTGGACGCACTCTGCGCTGCAGCAGAGTTCAGAATCAACTCCGGAGTTCTCCTGGAGCACGACCTCACGTGGGACAGAGGAGGAGATGCATCGCCAGAGACAATGAGGAGATTCTATTTCTTGCAATCTTCGGATCTCACTTTGCAGGACCCACCTCTACCAACACGGCAAGAAAAGATCTTGTTCTGGTCGCACGCAACAGACGTGGGGGCGCTATGGCATATGTTGAAGCAGCGTGACATGCGTCCGATGATGAACGCGCATGGAGTGGCGGCATTCGGCTGCAACATATTTTACGCGCTAGGCCACGAGATGTCCGGGTCGGACATCGACGAACATAACCTGACCCGGGTGATCTTCAACACCACGCGCAGCGCCAAGAACCTGGCAGGCATCGTCGTGGGCGGACGTGCATGGGGATCTCTTCTCAAACACCTTGGCGGGTCCTATGAAACAGCTCGCGCAGCCACTGAGGAGGATGAGGTGCTCAAAGATGCGAATGCAAAAGCTTATTGTGTATCTCGCAACAGATACTGCTTTACATGCATTGCATTTGAGCAGCTGATGACACCGCCTTCCACAGCGAATACCCTCATCTCCCAGTACCAAAAAGCTGCAGGCATAGCCCCACAAGGAAGAGCACGGCTTGCACTACTGTAACTGCGGAAACATCGCAGCTCTTCCTCGACCTCGACTTCGGCAGCACATTGCAGATCTTCCTTTACTATATGCCCAGCGACAGACTGCGACGCCAAGGA